ATCGGCTTAATTTATATATATATATATATATATATATATTTATGGCAGCCTCAGAGTGAATTAATTGAAGGTATTGAAAATAATAACAGAATCATTCAAAAAGGAAATATCACTTATTGTGGGTCCAACTAGATGCAGTGCGCAGATTTACCAAAAAAGCTGAAGTCATCAAAATGATGTATACTGTTTGTTAAACTGTTAATTCGTTCCTCATTAGGGCATATTGACAAGAATAATACACTCACAATAAATAAAATAGGACACACGGTTAACTAGTTCTGTGAGGACTTAGTTTTTGCGCAATGGTTTTTGAAGGGCGTCCATTATACTGAGCACTAAGCTGTAAAGTTTTTAAAGTAAAAATTCACTGGGACATTCACATACTATACAAATTCTTCAGCTTGGTCCCGTCAATTTGTTGGTTTCAAAGCACTTAAGCTGACGGAACCATCTATGGAATATGATAGACTAGATGCTACCGGGATAAGTCACTCATTTAGATGTTCTTCGAACTCAGTCAAATAAGGATAGTCGTATTTCGATCCGAGTTCGCCTGAACGACATTTTTGATTGGTTCCTCTTTCACATAAGGTCTACTCTTCTTACATATGGTGTGCGGAAGTTTCCCAAATTTACCTGTCCAGTCAGGTGTGTTATCAAATTTGAGCTGCATTCGTCATGTAGGATTTCCAAGGATACAACCGCCAATGTACCAAGTGCACGAATTCATTGTTTCAGGTGTTAAAACCTACTGACATAGCAAAAAATTGGTGCATTTGAGCCAAGCTAATTATAGTGCCATCGTTTCGCGAAATGGGTGGCTGAGATATCTTCAAAAGACGAAGTAAGTACCGAATTTTCCGGGACAAAAATGGCCTAGTTGGGCGTGCTGAGGAGCGACTCTCCAGCCAATTTTTACGTATACATTTCTCATAAAACTGGATCTGAATATAACAAATGCTTATAAAGTAGAGTCGGGACTACTGAAGTCTAGCTATACGAGTCTATGTAAATTTGTATAATTTAAGAGGTCGTGCAAAGCAATTACCACAAAATTTTCAATATTTTGGCAGATGCGTAGGGTCTTTCGGCGTGTCGCCGAGCAGAGGCACAAATACAGTAGAGATATATTACGCAAGCATGCACAAATGTAACAAAGTAATTTTAGACAACGAGACAACGTTCGATTTAAAAGGATTGGTTAGCTGAGCCCCTCATTGTAACAAATAGATTACTCAACTAGGAGTGAAAGATCCGACGTGGTGTGTTTGTATATCCCCATTCAATTCAACATGACTGATTTCTACGTCACTTTCACACTGAATGCTTCGTAAGGATGATTAATTATTCCGGTATAAATGCCGAAACTCTGGTTGATGCAATAGCTTATACTGTGCTGGTGTGATGGCCAACATAACCATAGAAGTGCGTGCGAAAAATAGGCAAATTATATGCTACTTATGAGGACATGCTGATTATAAGTGAGTTGGATGGTAACTCTGAATGTATGAGGAAGTCGTCAGGGGCCTCGTATGAGTCTACTCGTTCAGCCAATCCTGTATAATACAGAACCTGTGTTGTAGCCCTCATGAGAGACGGTCACAGTGTGAGCCATTGATGCGGCAAGGTCAAGTGTTCAGTCGTCTGTTCTGAATTTTGTGTCAGTATATTCCACCTCTCAGGAAGGTCAGATTCCTGGAAGCAACTTCAGAACGCCCGGAACCTACTGCTCCACCAAAAACTCAAATGGAAAGCCGGCAAGCATCCAGGCCAATCAATCATTCAATCAATTAAGCAAGACCTAATGAGTGTTCTTGCGGCAACAGAAGCACTACCGAATGTGATCAGCGTTCAGGTTTTTCACAGAGACACGATCGATGTTGATGGGTGTCCACTAACGCCTATCAGACAGCCTGGATCAATGTCAGAAAGTCCCCTTTAAATAGCGTGAGGCCGTTGTAACTTTTGCGCTCGCACTCGCTCTCGCTCTCTCACTCACTCGCTTGTTCGGGATACAGCTGCTGTGTTCCCTTCTGTGAGTCTTTTCTCTCCGACACTAGGCACTGCAGCGGGTTAGCAGCAGATACCACAGATTAACGAATCAGCAGATATAACACCACTTTTACAACCAAAACCGTAGTATGGTATATTCGGTTGAAAAATAGTTATTCTGACCCACCGCTTAGCTAAATATATCTATAGGTATGGATCCTAGAATAACATTGGCTGAACAAAGATGGTGTTTAGTTTCTTGAAGATTCTCAAAATCGGTGGAATACCCTCAAATTTGAGCGAACATCAGGCATGTATACAGATCGTTTCAAATTTTTACCAATATTCAAAATTAGATAATATGTAGGTGGCTTACCAGCTAAGAAGGTAACAAATGCAAAAGGGAGGAAATCGCGTTTTTTGACATTCTAAATGGGAGAGAATGATAAACCAAATTAACGGGGAAGCTAAATCCATAGTAGCCAAGCTTTTATTTGTACTACTTATTGACCATGAAAGATAGATTCAACTTCGTCACACTTTCAAAAAATTTCGCTCGTTTTATGCCATTTTGCCTCTGACAGATCAAGGGCCTCTTTGCTACCGCGGAAATGGAAAGACAGATTTCAACCTTAACACTTCTTACGGTTGCTTCCTTTTAACGTTTCGTAAACGGCGAACAGTATTGGTGGTTCAACTGGAAAATGCTCTGATTTGTACAGTTTTACTGAATTTTTCATTGTTAGATTACCCCTCTGGGTGTTTGATTATTAGATTACAATGGCGCAGGATATAATGGTGGTACGTCGGTAGTTGTGGATAAGGTGAAGCCGATAAAACTGATTTTATTGACGAGGTTGAAAGCTTAAATTTTGGTCGTTTTTTCTGCTCATTGTGTTGGGAAATGCTGCTGCAAACATTTCGCCAAAATCAGGATCACATTATCGCAACACGATGCACCGCTAACTTGTGACGCACCGCTGATGTCACTTCTGTGATGGCCTCACCCTCTTGAACCAAACTGCCAAGCCCAGCAAACAGAAAAACGGACGTCTGTACAACATGAGTTATCTGTATTTCCCTTAGTAACAATCGGGTATCTTTCATTGTTTTTGTGAATTCACACTGGAACCTTTTCATTCACTGATGAAGCTCAGCACATAGAGCACAGCTTGCAAAGTGCCTGGTTTGTGTTTTTTTGGTTTATTCATGGTAGTATTTTTCGTTTTCATTAAACCGCAGACTGTTATTTAAGTACTAAACAAACGAATCCGGAGCGATATATCATGGTATCTGTTGTTTTTCACAGTATCGCGATTTTTACAGATGAAACTCTCAAAATTATAGTTGAACTATGGATATTTTCTTCGAAATTCTGGCAAGACCAAATTCGAAGAGAATGTGCACCGGCCCGAGAGTACCTCGATTAACTCCAGAACTGGGTTCTTTTCAGCACCGCATTGTAGTCCCGAGGATTCTATCCGGAATGTCGCATCTCAAGAATGCTCCGAAAAGCCAAGCATTGAGTACGAAAATGGAAAATATTAGGGAATGCACAAATTTCCATTATTGCATGCAAATATTTAGAATTTCAATTTCCCTCTCAACTGATTGCTTTGTCCACAAACAGATTTTGTGTGCTGTTACATATGGTATCAAATGGCATCCACTCAGACAAGATACATGGGGACCAAGCAGCCACGGTGTGTTCTGCTTTGGAGTTTATGGATGGGTGTTATGGCGTCCCTGGGATTGTCAATTGTGGGCAACTTTCAGGTAGGTGACCTTAGAACTCCAGATTTTCGTAGATAACTCGACAACTTAGCGTCTATGTGGTCTCACATCCGTTGTTTATAACGGATTACTATGTATCAACCGGTTTAGTTTACTTCTTAGTCGTAGACCAAAATCCTAAAGGTTACGGCACACTAAAAATGCAGACCGAGGTTAAATGTCCGGGGAAAATGTCATACATCTAGTTTTTCTTACTGAGCAACTAATTTACGAACTTTCGTTGTGCTAAACATTCCCAGTAAACCCGGCTAAATTTGCCGTATATTAAAAGAGCTATGCAGAGGACATGTTGACCGTGAGAATGAAACCACGCGTCATTCAGACAAATATGCAGACTTATTGACTTGAAACCGGAGCTCGTTTTTCTCAAATTCGATAAAGTGAGTGCTGGCACATTTTGTGCATAGACGTTTGAACTTCATCTCGATTCACTCCACTTGTGCTGGATGAATGAACGCCCTACTGTTTGCACAATAAGCCAAGCGTCCCTATTATGTCGCGATGGCGTGTTAAGCAATCATAACCGCACAATCATAACCGTACCACAAAATTTTAGAAAATCTTCCTTGATCAGATAGTTACGTTCAAACATATCTTATCATAAAGATGATAGAATTCGGTAGTCTCAGACCCAAATAAAATGCGGCACATGTTAAAGTTGTCTAAACACCAAAAGTTTCGCATTTGAAAATGTAAGGAAAATATACTTTACAGCGTTGTGTTCCTTCCATTTTTTACCTCATTAAAATCATCCTGACTTAACTTTCTAAGCCTAAATATGACTCTTATTTTTGGTCGCACACGTAACACGACATCAGAGATCAAACCTGAAAACTACGGGTGATCCCGTTGAGTTAACAAGCGTTTGCTTTCCGTTGGTTACTTTTGCGTATACCTGAATGAATCAAACGAGCCTCATTCAGTTAGAAGTGTGGTCATTCGTTTTGTCACCATCTTCCGCGTAACTCCAATTTGTCGACAAACACCTCCGCGAACTGAATTTCTACCTAGGCATGCAGTATTATGGTCTAACAACCTTACTTGCAGGCCCGCAATCGAGCGGGCTCTAAAGATTCAGCTTGATTGGCTTGGCGTCTTAATAACAAACAAGATGTTGTCCAATTTCAAACGGTTTCAAATGTTGCAGGTCGTGAGACTACATGATAGCAAGGTGGAAGTAAATGTGACTTTTGTTCGAATACGGGCGTGTGACGGTTGTTCGTCATGCATGCAATGGCTTAGCAAATAGTTCGGATTTTCTACTTGTTACCGATAACATTCTTGTGTGACGTGTGGGAAACTGACTGGACAGTATAAAGTATGCAACGCTTCAATTTGAGAAATTTGACTTTTGGGTCCCTAGCAACAGTTCGTTTTTATTGCCCATTGTGTAAGAATCGCATTTTAAAAGGGATCAAATGCGGGGAACTATGCCTTATTTAGTGCACTGTGGTACATGATATGAATAGGTGTGAACATTTACTATATGAAACTAAGAATTCCGTCTGTTCTGCTGCATGGGGCCTTCCTTTACAATCGCGCTAGGTTTCACCAGTGGCCTCTATGAAAAGACCCTTGTGAGGTTTTTCGCAAAACCGGGTTACACAGTGCTTTTCTTATGAACTGAAATCTGGTTCGAATATACTCCCAAGGGATTCGCTTAAAACCCATTTTATGTGTTTGTCAAGACTTTACAAGTGTCTCTCTACCTTTATCCTGCGAAGAATGATCCAAGACCGGTTAGTTTGTCTGACCAGCAAAGTTTATTCTTTTACAGAAACTTTTTATTGATGTTATCGAGGACTGACCAGAGCTCCTTTTAGAAAAAAAGCAACACAAGCTGCGTGTGTCAACTTTTGTAATCAAACTGAAGCCTTGGCAAGCTCGGATCATCAAACAAGCCGTTACTTTCAGAGTGCAGAGTATTTATTGACGTGCTCTACTTGCGCAGCTGAAAATAAGACGGGTAGTTTCACCTGGGGCGAGAAAGATACTTAGACGCAGTGTATTCATCGTGAAAGGGGCATTCCATAACTGGTGAAACCATTTGTGGAGCACTTCATAATGAAAAACGAAGGACACCCAGTGACCCAGATAGAGAATGATAATCAAGGTCACGTGAGTTTGTTTTTCATCACTGCGGCTTCACGGGAGGATGTTTTTTACACCAATTTTCACATTATTTACACATCACCATTGTTTCATTAACTTGAAATCGAATTGGTTAATAATACGGACTTGATTATTAGTTGCGGTGTTTTGATAAAATCAGAAACATGGACCACCCGGAACACGGAAACCACAGTTCAGACTTACTCTGTTGGTTTTGTCGAATGAGCTGAACAGAAGTATACCACTTGTGCGCTTACAAAATTTACTGTCGTATTTTTGGCTGCGCATTCCTTCTCCTTTGCAAACTTAGGAAAAAAGGAGTTGACGGGGTGCGAATTCGTTGGCTATATTGCTTGACACATTTGCAGATGGAAAAGTGTAAAATGTAGTGAAGTCTCAAATGACAGCGTAAGTAGAATATATCACAGGATGATTTCCGGTAATCCCGTCGATGAAACCAGGATACCTTCAAGGTTATCTTGAAATTTGTCTGGACGCGAAATGGTTTGCACCTGTTGTTAAACGATGTTTGGATAAACTTGAATCGCTTGGATTCGTCCTGAGTCGTAGCGACCTAGAACGATGATGGCAACTCAGTCTTGTGGATCGTTTCAATCAGGCGTTTAGAAACTCAAGGTGTGATCCTGAAATCGATTTCAATGACCGCATACTGCAGTTTGTTCAACAGTCTCAGAACACCATTACGCAGATGCCGTTTTGACTACGTATCAAATCTCGTGTAAGTTTTGCTAAAGCATGTTTCACCGTAACCATAGTGGGTATAATCGTCCAGCCGTAACACCCTTTCGGTGCAAAGCTGCTACCTGTGGCAGCTAAGAGGGCTAGGCCACCACCAATTTGCCTCGGCCCAGACAACAGAAGTCGAGATGAAGCGGTGGGATTCGAACAACTAAATTGCGAAGGTTGTCCTTTAACTACTGAAATATCCCGTATTTACGCAAATTCCTGTAGACATATATATGCAATGAGTTACTGATAGATCTGGGTGTAGCAACGTTTATCCTTGTGTTTGCTGCGCTGCGCAGTTGGACTGCATTATAGGTGCATCCTGAGGCTACACTGAGTGTTTTACTCAAGGACACTGAGCAGTCACCGGCATGAGGTACTTCTAGCTAGACAGGTTTTTTAAATAAATAACAAGCCTGGTTTCAGTATTCCGCCTGACTTTCGGTCAGATGCAATCAATTGGTCCGAGTAGCAATTTCCTCGAAGTACGTACAGCATCAGTTCAAGGTTCGCATCCACCGTATCCAGGGTGCTAATGCTGCAACCTATAGTGCAAGAGACAGATGATAGCTAGCTTCTGCCAAAAGGGTAGATTTGCAAAACGGAGATACTTTCCTTTCATCTGAGCTTTCGCTTCCCTTATTGAGACATCGGTTCACCCAACTTTCTATGGGACCCACAAGTGACCCATTCCAGCTAGGCAACTAAGCTGTAATCACTAATCGAGGACTTTATCAGACGCAGTCGGTTTTTTCGGGGATCGTTGACTTATCGATGCAAGCCCTTGTTATGCGCGCACAAGGGCATCAAGAAGTTACCCTGGTTTCATTGATTAATTGAACTGAAAAAGGACTTCAGTACTTTTTAGGTAAACTGTTGTTTTCTGTGGTATCGCCACATCTTACACATTTGCGACTGTACAGAAAGTATGTGTACAGCAACTATGTTCTTTTCTCTTCTCCTTCTCTCCTCTATGTTATTTTCTTCTCCTCAAGCTGATCTAGGGAACCCAGTTTCAAGGGCGAAAACTCCTAAAATGGCAGATTATTTGTTGTACTTTTACAGTAGCCGATGTTTTGGGTCAATGCTGTGGTTTGTGTTATAATCTGGGTGTCGGACATATTGGTGTGCGCGTTCATATTTGTAATCGACTGGAATTGATGGAAAGCAATAATCTCACCGTACGAATTAGCAGGATCGTTTGAAAACTGCTGATTGCTAAGGATGCTCAAGAAGAGATGTTTGAAAAAGTTGAAGTTCGGTCTATTTAGTGAAGTAAATAAAAACGATGCCATCTAACTCTACCAGCGTATCTCTGCAGACTCAACTATCTGCGATTCACGGTGTCCTAGTGATGTATCGGACGGCCATCCGTCTCATTACTAGCTCGCGCCTGGACTGCAAGACCAAGTGCAAAATCATTTTGGTGGTTGTCATTCAGTCAATTAGGTCTGTCAGGTGTCCAAACCATGTGACTAAATTCACTTAGATGAATTTAAAAGCACGTCTTTAGCAAGCAACTCGCTTTTTTGAGATTTTCTGGTCATTCTGCAGTTATGTAAAACCAGTAATGAACCAGCAGTCCACCTATTTCTTCCACTGTATATTAAGCATGTACAGTCAGTGGGTGTTCTCCCCGGACTAAACTGAGCGCCATTCCCTGTTTAAATTCATTATCGAGCTTTGTGTGGCAACAATATAACCTCACCGCTATTTATGCCGTTCATACTCACTTCTGTTATACGTCTGCAGGTTACTGAAGTGGAATTTGTTCACTATACGGGCATGGCGATGGTATTTGTTGGGACCACATTCTACATACTGATCACGGTTCATGTATGTCGCAAATATCTGGGCTATCATGCCCCTTATTGGGGAGCCCGTTTGGTAATTGGTCTTGGATGTTTGATATCTGGAACCATGTGTAAGTCTTGGCATCTTCAATGACTGTGTTCACATTTTTATACTAGATCTAATATTGACTGCACTGCCACGTTGTTGCTTTCATCAGACGAAGTCGACGTGGTGGGTGTTTACTTAGGTGTATCTCAGGCAGTAGCCTAGTTCAACAGTAGAGCTGGCCCTATGTTTACATTAGTCATAGGAGAACAAAGTAGTTGTAATTATAAGTTCAAGTGCATGAAGTAGATTTTCCACCCGCTGCACAATTTCCGGTGTTTAGCAAACAGATTGAGTAATCTTGCCTTTGTTGCAGACCATCTTTACACATCTGATGGGACATTTTATCGTTCCTATCAGAATATTCTAAGATTTTTGTAACAAGACCATTGACACCAAGGTTTCTCGGCATGAGTTTAGTTCTTTGTTAATGCTTTGCCATGTGTGGTTACTACGACGTAGCTTTTTGACGTATCGCCAGAGTCTGACCTGAAACCATAACTCAGAGTTTACTGGAGCAAGAAAACTTGGTCAGACTGATGGACTGTGATCACTGAAGAGCGTACTTCTGCTTGCTTCAAATACCGTAATTAAAGAGCTACGTGACGTAAATGCACCAGATACTTGGACAAGAAGTCATCTAGAAGATGCTTTAAACCATGTTGGCGAATCTCAATTCATAAATTGTGCGTGCCTTGGGCTTAACGGCCGAGTGATTCTGCGCTGAGCAGTACACAGTACCGGCTGAAGTTTCAAGGGTTAAAGAGATCAACTTCACAAGAATTCCGATCTACAGTTGCTCAACCTTTTAACTTTTACCACAGCTACTCATCCTGTGGCTTAAAGCTAACACTCAATGGCTCTCAATGTTTCAGCATTGTTGTGTCGATGAATTTATCGAAAGTTACTCATGACTCATTCTGGAACCAATTTTCACGTTTTCGTAAAGCCACAATATACTATCGATGTTTGAAGTGTGCAGATTGCGGAATATAGTCCCATTAGGATTGATCCAACCTCCATTATTCTCCAATTATTTTGAGTATCAGCTTACTTATTCCAAAAAAAAACAATCAGACATTGCCGACACAACAAGACCTACTTCTGTTTTTGTGTTCCTTAATTACCATGTTATGAAACTGATTAAATAATACGCGACGGAATTCAATTTTGTAACACATTATGACTTTTGCAGGTCAGTTTGAAAACTAGAAAGCATAAGCCGCACGTCAATCCAGTTATCAAATTCATGTTGCTATGAGACTTTTAAGGTATTGTTTACCTTTGCAGATGATACTGTTGCGTCAACGACAACACATTTTAGACGCAACTGTGTATATCCTACTTGTCAACATGGAATAACTGAAGCCCAAGCTTTCCTTATGCTTCATTTTTTTCTAGACGCAATTTGTCTCGGTTTTCATCGTTTTGAAAATCGTGTTCCTATCGAAATATTCTCGTCAAGCATGTATACTATAAATGAGGTAAGCAACCACAGGAATTCCACTCACATTTGTGCATCTTCTGGGTTTTTTATTGAAAGGTTAAACAATAGGTACCGCACTTGCTGAAACACAAACCGGTGGTCATCCTCAAAGGATGTCACTCACAAATTCATATAAGTAAATTATGAAAGCTATTCTAACCGATGCAGTCGTGTATAGTCAGGTTGTTTATCGTGTATTTCCTCCATTGTAACGGCATATCTGGAAATTTCTAAGGGGCGGGTGTAAGGTTCCTCTGAACAGTCATTACAAACCGAGGAATTTTAACCCCGTCGTCCGCTGGACGTGGTTTAGGGCTATGAATTACGGAGATATCCCCTAATGGCAGTTATTTCACAACTTCCATGAAAGGAAATTTGCTTCTATAACTTAAGTACCAAATAAACACGCTGGAGTTCATTATAGGGAGAACAGAGTATTATGAGACCGATATCTTTGGGTGAACGATAACCTCAAACTGACGGTTCCATTCAGAGGATTTCATTTGAACAAACCGACTTTTCCAATTTAAGCGGGAAATCACAACCCACCAACGACCACGGACAAAGTGATGACACAAGTAGGAAAATGTGACGGCTAATTTTGAGAAGTTTTGAAGAGCTGTTCTTGGTCATTTAGACTACGGCCAACTAGTACGATACGTTGTGTCATGCGTCAGCAGACTACGAATTTCGGGCATTACATGCTCTATGGAACCTGAAAGCAACATTTTGCACGAGAATTCCATTCCCAGAGGAGACACTACTACCGTATTTTTATGAAATGGCAGAAAGAACTGATAAAGATTTCCGACCTTATGTTTCATGAAACTACGGTTACGGTGATTGCAAAAGGTGTGTGATGACGATTTTTGGCTTAATGCTCTTCTGTGTCACAATGATGCGGCGTTTATTGATCTGTGCGAAGAAGTCTCTGAGGAGGGAAGCTTGTCCTCCCTTGATACTGGGCTAGTTATAAAAATGGTAAAATCGACCCAAAGGTTCTCTTCTGGTCTTTTTTCGTGAGGAAAAGGTCTGGGCGTTCAACAGTGTATCGTAGAATTTCTAATTCATCGCAGATTGTTGCGATTTTCTTGGAATCGTATTGGTCTTGCTAAAGTTGATTGATATTGTCTTGATTCTACAAAACGAATGTGGGAAAATCTCCCGCATGCTTCGTGGAGCGTTGGCTGCGGTTACGTTTTTGAAGGCCCAAAGGAGCCTTCGCAGTTCCTTACAGGTATTTTCTTCACACCCGTAACAGTCATCCACGGACTAAGCAGGGATACCTGTACGACCGCATGACATGAAATTATAAGCATTTCCTCACCTTTGTGGTCACTGTTTTGTGTACTTGTTACCAGAAGGACATTGCTTATCGACGTTCCGCCTCCCATTGAATGTTGCTAGTATCAAATACTCGGTTAAAGCTAATAGGATAGAAGCGTAAATATGTGCTTGGTCAGTTGGCAGTGAATTCCGACTAACAAAAGAAAACATTTTATGACCATTTCATGACTTTTAGAAGGTTGTGTGTGTTATCGGCGGGCGCAAACCAGTTGTTTGTCAAATTGTACTAATTTACTACTGCTCAGTTGAAGCGAGATCAACTGCGGACTTCACTTTCATTTATCGTTCTTGGTTCAGCGAAGCCAACCGCAAGCTGTGGAGTTGACTTGTCTATCTGGTGACCTAGATTCTTAGAATACTAGTCAAAACGAATTTTTATATATTACTCCATTGTGGTGTTTTCCTTGATGATTCCTCAACAGTGCAGTCTGCGGCCGAAGGAAAGGTTTGTCTCTTTTGGAGGTGTATTTCTGAAAAGAAACTTCTGTAACGCTGACACAACTTCCTTCGGAATTTTTGAGGCAGTGACTTCACCAAAAGAAGCGCATGTTGAACAAATACTTTCGACATATCGTTCTTTTTAGGTCCATATTATACTGCCTTATCCTGAACGTTACTCAGAGCCAAACAGGACAAACGCTTTGGCTGTAACTCAGCATCTCACTGGCAGCGTACACCAAACCACTAATTTGTGGGTCATCTTTATTCAGAAAAGAGGGGTTCCGGGGCGCATTCCCTGCGAACCTGTAATGCGCAACTGGAACCAATCGAACGCCAATGCGTAAGAGCTTTGTGGTTGGTTCTGTTGTAGATTTACAGACTGCAGCTGGAATTATGGGAACTTCGACTGAGTTTATGTTTCCTACACCTGAAGATGACAGGATACGGTATGATATGGCAAAACTTTGAGCTTCACTGATACAACTGATGCTTTTCAGCCTGGGGACAAGCTGCTAAGAGAACTGATAACAATATGGAATAGTATCTTTGCTATAGCTGGTTTCAACGACAGAATGTTTTCCAGAGGGGCAGTAAAAAGCACATTCTTTTTACTTTAGTTTATCATCTGTGTGGACCAATTTCCACTTAGGGTAGATTCTGACACCTCACCCTATTGGTAATTAACCGTCAAAGCGTTGTTTACCATTAGAATTCACGGTAACACCACATTTATGAAGCTTTAGGTCGACGGCTGACTACCAGCTTCCGGTTTATTGAACGAGAGAAGTCAAACAAATATCACGGTTTCATAGCCTACGATGTGTTGGAATAGTATGAAATGTAGATATGGAGAGATAGCCTGTCAATGTTACATTACTGGTGATATGCTCATTTGTTTGCCAACATTCGGAAAGTCTTTTAAAGTCATACTCCTAACTCCGAGTGTTCCTGAGCTGCTTGAGACCTGTACTCGCCAGGAATGTGACAAGTGCGACCGCAACTCACTAGGTCAATCCGACGGGCGGTAGGGAAGTGCTCCAGGGCCATGAGCTGGAGAATAACTGGAACGATTACTGTTCGGTTAGTTGACCCTTTCCTGTGTCACCAAAAAGGCACGTGTGGGCCTCAAGACTGTCTTGGCCCATCAATCATGGTCCCAAGGACACAATGTAACCAACGGCGCCTTTGCTTCGACCATTTTACGGAGCCCCTGAAAACTATGTAATATGACTACCTGTTTTATAGCTGTAGTTGCTAGAAGACATAATAGAAACGATGTGACCACAGCCCCTCATGTTTTCAAAAATACTACAAATTTTTGAGCCAGACAGGAAAGATTAAGGGTTCTTTTTTTATCACAAATATACGATAAATTTCCATTCACTGATGGGTCCCCTTGTGGGTGAACACTTCGCAAAGTACAAGAAATCTCGGCTCAAATGCCAGCCAGTCGCATTTTTTATTTTGATCAGGCACCGCGCTCTGTTCCGTGGCAGCTGAGTAAACTTTTTCCCGTTCCAGTAACCAGGCGGCATGGGCTACAATTTCTCAAGCCTTAACTGAGTTGCCAAGTGATGCATCTGCCCTATTCTATTGCACATTATCAGAAGAAATGCTACGATTTCGCAGTGCAAGCATGACGGAGCAAACCATTCGCTAATGAACCACGTTGTGGGCCTTCGAGCACAATTACTCTGCTATTCAACAAGTTGACCTACACATAACCTTCGAACGAAAGACTGGAATAAACGGCTTTCTCATGACTGCATCGGTTGAAGCGTTTGGTTGTCGGTGCTTGCTGGACCTGGTCGGGAATACATCATCACTACGCAGTTGGCTGAAGCACCGTTAATATATTGGCTCAAGCGAGAAGAAAGAAAGAGCGTGAGTTCATGGAGGCATAACACTCCACTGAAAAGGCCATCAACAAGCATATCGAAATCGACCCAGTCTATCGACTACTGCGGGAAAAAGAACTTCGAAACTACGAAACTTAAAGCCGCACAAAAAACCCGAGTGATCCAGCATAGAAGAGGCAAGCAAACCAAAACAAAAAATTGAGGGCAGTAAGCCACTTTTCTGAACTAGTGTTGAACCGACAAATGAAAGGAGGATAAATAATGACTCAAAATATTGAAGATCCAGGTGAAATCAAATCGGCCAACAAGGGAAAGAAAAAAACTATATCAAGCGGGAAGGTACATGCGGCCGATCAAGCTCACGGGGGCGAGATTGCGGGACAAACCAAGAACGGACCAGTGCGACTGAATGAAAGAAACTACCAAAAATATAAATCGCTATCGCAATAAACCACATTAAAAAATAAAAGGCCACAACGCAACACAATTTAAAACAGAGCAGTCGAAAACCTATTTAAAACATACCAAAGCAGTCAAACAACCAACCAATCGAATATATGATATGCAAATCACGATCCAACGCAGATTGCGGTCAGATTAATAATATTACAACAAATGTATATACCGATAAGTCGGTCACATGAGAGGATATTAGGTACTCTTTGTAAACTATATAAACGCAGCTAGCCACGGATTATGCACCCAGTCAACTGCGCACTGACGACGATTCATCGACTAGAGACGAAGCGTTTGCAAGTCAGTTGCCAAGTTCAGCAAACATATCGGAGACAACTACAGCAAATACAGCCCAGTTACCAATATTTCGGCGCATTGAACCTGCCCTATTTTGAATCCCCCGACCCGTTATTCTGGTTCCGGAAACTTAGCAAACCCAAGGCCTACGTCAGTTAAAGTTAAGTTCCCAGCTAGTCCTCCTGATGATGTAAACCTGAAAAGATGCAGTTTGTTCTTTATTTGTGTGGTACCATGTTTTAAAATGACTGTGCTTATTACGGTATGAACTTTTGTTTGAACGTTCCCTACGCAAAATACATGTTCGTGAAAGCATCTCATCCCGTCTCACAAACAGGAATATATCCGACTTCAAGTGCTCGTTGCTGCAAACAAATATCTTATGGCCCTTTCTTTCCAGATCAAAAAATGAGAATCGACCTCTTATTTCCAACCTTAAATAACCCATGTTACATTTGAGTTGTTTTTTGCGTGTAAAAGGCCATGCTGAAGTTAAATATCAAACATTTTCCAAATTTTTCTTCGTTCTTCATTGAAAGCGATACCAGTGAATGTCGCTGGATTAGTTCCGTCATTTCTCTCGAGACTTTGTTGTCCAAACCACTGACCGCACACTACTGCACATATCATAATTGGCACAGCACGCTGTGTTCCTGGACGTTGATGCACATTCAAATCTATATGGTTGAATTCACTCACGTCATTTTAAATGTTCTGCAGCCGAAATACCGAATTTTCCTTTTACTGATTTATTCCTTTTTGTTATGCATTTGCATTCAAAAACACTTCCAACACAAAACTTTGAATCCCAAATTTCATTATGAAGCCGCCATGAATTCGGTCACTCTCTACGGGTAGTCTATCTACAGAGAAACAACCATGGCACTCCGTGACACTGACACCCAAAGATGTTTGTCATGCCAGATGCTGTTAATACATTCAGACTTCCACACCTAAATGTCTACATTCGTCGAAGAATTATTGCCGCTTCGTCTACCGGGATACTCTCACTTTTGTCACATGGTCTTTGATTCTCGGACACCTTTGCGAACAATACTTTCCGTTTGATTCATACTGGGCTCTAAAGGCTAATTTTTGTTTAATTACCCATTGTCACTTCACAAATCTGAAGTGCTAAACTGCTATTTTGTGTCCTTGCATTTCCCTGCTAGAGCAACTTAACTTTTTCCCAGATAGGGATCAATCATTAGAGCTCCAATGGTCTTATGTGTTCCCAAGCTTATTTTTGGGGAAGAAGGATGACAATGCTTCATTGAACATTTTCCACAGGGATTTGAAGAAGCTGTCTGTGCCGCGTCGGCCGAGTGGTGTTCGGCGTTGTTCATTCTCGGATTTTTCATCTCACTTGCCCCGGAATTCAGCATGTTTGCCCTGCAGCTCCCAGAAGTAAGTTGTCTGATCAGGCGCCCTCAAAGCGTATCTCATGAACAAATCTCTGTGCTACCCGTTTTATAATCTATATCTAAATCATTGAATGTCATTCGGAAACGGAACATCCATAATGCGAATGAAACTAAAGGCGTTTCGACCGCACTCAACTTTGAGATTTCTCACTTGTCGAATGCTTTACCGGGTGACATACTTCAGTGACACTCGTCCGCCACACAGTGTCAGGTTCGAGTATTGTCCGACAGATCTGTCTTTTCGTTTGCCTGATACGCACTTGGGTTTTTGTTAGAGATCTATTCGGTATCCATCTCTTTTCCCTCTACATCATTTCACTAATGTACCCCGGTTGCTACACTTAGCAGAATACGATGTTCGTTTCGTTAAACCAGTTAGAATTTTTTTCCAAATGGTTATAATTGATAAGAATATTGCGGCATTCTACACAAACATGACTAATGGTTTCGAGAGAAACAGCGCTAACGGAAGACAGTGGTATCTGTTGGGATTGAAATACCTATGCGGACTGTACATTACTAGGTCAGGCACTTTTGTGAAGTTCCTTGAAAAATCTCAGTTTTTACACTAAACAATTAACAGAATGTCTAAAAGCGTAAAGGTGGTTCCCGGAAACAGCTCCAACGCGTTATAGTGCAACATCATGCTCAGTAGATAATTTCACTTCGCTTCCTGTTGAATGAAGCGATTGCTGAGTTCTACTGAGAACAGGCTACTCACGCCTAGGTGCAAGAAACTGAAGTGCTGTGAGCACTCGTATTTCGGGTTGACAGTTCATAGATTTTGTTGCTGCCGATACAGAAAAGATGCTGTAAAATGAGCAGACCAAAACTCCGCAGAGTCGGATCTCAGCTGAATTACAATACAGCCGATCTCTGCAATTTCGTGTTTCACTCACACTATTTGGTGCTGACAAACTGCGAACAAGGACGAGTGCATTAAGTCCATTCATAGATAGCTGAACTCTGTTTAGCCGATTGAAAAATGTGTTGGAGACCGTTCGTATCAATCCGTCAACAAATTCTGCTGTTTTGCTTGAATCAAACTTTCTGATAAGCCCTTACTTAAATGTCCTCAGGACATATCAAGAAAAATGTCTTACTCCGTCTCAGAAGTGAGTGCAGCGATACCACAAATTCATCGTAGTGCTCTTCTCACGACATTTGGAACAAACCTAAACTAGCTTACGAGTGACTTACAGGTGAGCACGGTCAACTTATTTTTTGTCTGTCCTATCTGTTCCGGTGAACTTCTAGGCTAAGCGTTAGAACCATTTCGGGATTACACATGGATCTTGTGGCATTGGTGTCTAACTTCCCTCAGTTTGGATTCGATTAATTATGCCAGATCATCTAAAACAGTGAACCTCTTAGCATCATCAGTTCTGGGTGTCTCGATCAGAATATACCAAGATAAAACCTTTTATTGCGACTTGGTGTGAGAAACTTTAAGGAATAACAATCTCGTTATCAAGCATTTAAAGAAAATATTATGGGGCTACGGACTCCGAGGCTTTTCAATGAGACACTTAGTTGTGATCCAGGTGAACCTTGCAAAGTGGCATGAGACAAATATTGTCGTCATATACTATCTATAGCGTAGCTTTGACTCAAAAGATGAGCAGTCGTTTCGTTGCTCGTTAAGCTTTCTCGTACTGTGGTTTGAAGGCACAACTGTGTTTGGGGGTGCTTGAAATGGACAGTTACACAGACGTATCTCTGCAAAGGATAAGAAACGGCCTCAGGAATCAAGCAGTAGAGTTTCCTGCATCTGTATGTCAGTTTTGAATTGTTTCAAAATAAGTCGCATCCCCATGTCAGATCTTGGACACAATCAACTAGGTGCCTGGGGATGCAAACGGCGTGAAGTGATTACAGATTATCACCTATTCTGGAATACATCCACCTATATAAATACTGAGTATTTGCCTGCTTTTCTGCGTAAAATACCTGTTGAAATTCATAGATTTATAAGTTTCACAGTATTCGTTTTCTGTTGTTTCGATGGATAACAAGACCCTTACATCATGTTGCACTTTAACCAATTTAAATGGGCACACTTACGGATATCTTGGGGTGCTCATATCTCTACTTCTTTCCCATCAGCTGTCATTTCTAGCAACTCCAGTTTGGTATGAAGTTCAGGCATATGGATATCAGAAAATGGGAAGACCGGAAATAGTTCTACGCTTCAACCCTTTTGGATAGTAGACTTTTTACACACCAAAGGTCGCATGGACTTCAAAGAGAGCCGTACCCTGACAGTATAGGCTATGAGAGAAAGCTTACTACAATCTGACGACAGACAACTAAGCTACTTAGAATACAGCTGATTCTCTCTTAGAGCAATTATTTGAAACTCTCAAAGATGTAAATGAGCTAGATGCTCCCCATCCCCCAACCAGAGCCTGGTTCACAGTGATCTTATATAGATATATATCGTATATGTTAATATAAGGGAAGGACAGAAGAGGAAAGGAAAGAAGAAGAACAGAAATAAGAATAAAGTAAGAGAAAATATTTTCAGCTGATATTATTCTTTCAGGTTTGTCGTTAAATCTCAAAACTAACAGTGAATCGGTTGTGCTGAATGCGTCACAGTTCCAACTACCACGTAACCATAAAAACGGAAGAGTCGAGGGTCCACCCGGGTACCAAAGAATTCGCATTGGCTACTTAGCCGCTGATCTGCACATAAAAGGGGGTACTCGCAAGGACCTGATTTGAACCGGCTTCTGATCAAGTATATTGACTGATCTGCTCAGTACATGTTTGCTTTTAATGTGGGCTGACGTGTACTGTCGAATCAAGATTCAATCAGTCAGTCCAGCCAATTTTGCTGCGAGCTTACACGTATCATCAAAAGATGCAAGTAGAATTTGTCGGTACTGTACTCTAGAAGGCGTGAGCCCGAGATTAACTGGTTAGCTGTAAGTGGCCACCGGTTTTGTTGAATACGCATTTACATCCTTGTATTTAGGGGACCCTCCTCCTATCTTGGTGCACCCATTTTGCCGAGTCCAAAAAAACGAGAGGCGGTATTTGGTGCGTCATTAGAGTCACTAAGGGCCGGTGGTTGCATTTTCAGTATATATTCGCGCAGTGTTAGGATTCATCAATTAGGGTGTTTTTTAGCTGTTTGTACACGGCTATGTAAGCGAAGTTCACCAAAGAATTCTAATGACCTGAAATGCTGGGTTTTTTCGAGGTAAACTTCCTAATGGAAAGAAGTTTAATCAATCATACACTGAATCTGATTTATGCGTTTCTAGACCATTGCCTCACCAAAGCTTCCAGCGAACAGACTAGGTCTTACGCATGGAACATCAAATCTGCATGGAAAGAACGCAGTATGGGTTCCTTTATAATCCAGTGTCCAGCTTTCTTGTCTGTCGTTAGAACAATGGTGAATTCAGAAGTCAATAACCCGTGAAAACCAAGCCCACATGCAGATGAGTGTGTTTGTCGAATTTCGTGCAATTTGAGTTCGAGAAGAACATAAGTATGACGAAAACTCGGCGAATTTGCCCCCTAGATGACCGTTTATAAGGGGAAAACCGATCGTGGTCTATTGAAGAGCTTTCATCAACCTTGTGAGTAGTTTCGTTTATGGAAGTACCGAAATTTTTTTCAGAAGCTGTACGTTGAAAACCCTGCAGGACTGTGTAGTTTAGTTTCCTTGTGCATTGAGCTTATGTTTTGCAGGGAACGCTGGGTCAATCCCACTGATGGCACTTTACATCGACACAATGCTCAGATTTGTTTCTTTTAATGCTGTCAGGAAATGCGTACACTTTATTCTTGAGTGTTTTTCTTAGAGAGGTTCTCAAAGGTTCTTTGTGGTTCCATTCTCTCCTTTTCTTCCTACTCTCTACTATGGTTTTCATCCCTCATAGTTGTATGGCCCTATGTACTGCTGGTGTGTTGCTGTCAACGATGGTGGTGATTGTACTGTAAGTGAGTTCGACTGAAATTTCTATGAATGTTTTACACTTCTATGGGACCAAAGACGGTCATTCGGGTGTTTGCGTGCTACAGATACTTCAGGGGGACCTAGTGATTGCTTGACCTTTCCCAGCTGAAGGACATTATGTTGCTTCCTCGAGTTTGTAGGGCGAGCTTACTGGCTGCTCAACCGGTTCAGCGTTCCCACGATCATATTTTGCACTTTCCATTTCGACCGAATTCGGCTCCGAATTTTCCCATCTAAATTTGCTAACATAGACACCACGTTCAAACAGGATGGTTTACTACTTTCTCTGGAATCTGCTTGAGAGGTGTCGTAGTTCATATATCTGATTTTATCGGTCGTAATCTGGATGGGCAAGTCTCGCATAGGTGGACGGGCCTGGCGACCACGCTTACCTGTCGATCACTGACTGTGAATGCCCAGCATCTCTAGATAATACCGATAAAGGTAAATCACTTATTCAGTTGATTAATGTTGTCGGCAGCCCCACCCACTGTAACTCCTCCAACACAGCCCAACGCCCATCTAGGTCCTCCTTCTCCCATCATAGATTTTAGGTTGTTAAGCCCAACCTTTGGTTCTGCAAACATGAACAGCTGAGATGTGGCACTCAGTGGATGTTGTTCTTACCTCTGAGCAAGCCGATAACTACAGTCATGTATACAGTCTAAGCTACCGAGATTCCAGGTCTTAAATGGCTCGGAAATTTTTCATTCCCTAGGTTAAACTCAATAGAATTTCGAAAATATAAGTCCTCGGTGTACTGCAGCTTCTGTGTGCATGAGAAATTTGTGACGTTCTAGTTTGTCTATGGCTGTAAACCAAGTACCAAAGGTACGTTGCCGCAGTTTCGGCCACTGCGAAGTGGGATAGCTGGCGAGGTATAGCCAAGCATTGAACGTGATGTCATGTTCATTTAGTTCGGAAAACTGGCTAGTTACGTGTTGAAGGTGACAGCTTATTGGTTATCGATCAAGTGGCTGTTGATCTTTGATTTAGGAATGCCTCTGCATGACTGACTGTCCACTGTCATTGATCACCGGTGAGTTACACCCACGGAGTCCCTATCTGGGAAGGTGAAGATTCTCCACCAGACTAAGTTTGCTGGTTAGCGTTTTAATATTTCTTTGCCAGGTCATAGCCCTTGGTCGAATCTACCGAGAACAGCGATGGGTGAAAAGAGCTCTGCGAGGCAAACAGTCCTCTGGCTGACAAAGTACACATCTTAACCAGCATAACCTATGGAGCGTGAGCAACTCAGCAATAATGGGGAAGTTTGTTTTACCTAAAACCATCTATTGCGTCTCGGTATTGCTACTTTGATTCTCCTATCCGACTCAGCCAGTGCTTCGAAGATACTGATGGCCAAATACCGTTAGCTTTCCTAATTTCTTCGCGTTTGAGCAGCATGCTCTTGATCTATAAAGTGGCCCGGATCCCACCGTCACAGTGTATACAATTCCTTTGACAAACAAACTGAAGTCACACCAGCGATATGGACTTCGGAGGTAGCAAAAAGTATGCTAGCCTTCCTGATACGAGAAGCGATTCTTTTCCAGCCGGTCCATTGGAATTTATGCGACCACTCGGGTAAACAAATTTAGTTATCTGGTCTTCAAGATTAAGGTAAGGGTTTGAGTCCACCCGGCAGCACTTTGTACGTGTGAAGCACCTTCCAAACTGTGCGACAGAGTTATTTAGGTTATTCCAAATGGTTTGTATTTTCAAAGAATCTGACCCATGGAAAACATTCATATACTCGATTCCCTAGGATGAACGTACCGGGGTAATTTTGACCAACCTTAGATTTTTTGAAAACGTGGTGCTGTTCAAGAAACTGACTCAAGGTGAACATATGATTGTTGCATCTTCCGCCAGGGTTAAACCCAGCTTGACTCCTACTAGGTTGTCTCTATCAACAATCGCCCAACCTGCTCTAAATAACGTTAAGGAGCACCTCAGATGTAACAGTTACCGGGTTGATGCCACGATGGCTTTTGCATGACATTGTTGTGCCCGTTTTAAAGACTGGAATGAAGGCTGAGGAGCTTCACTCCCCTGGTATTCTGCTTTTGCTCCAAATATTCTTCAGACTGTCAGACTTTCACCAGGAACACACTATCTTCTTTGAATAGTGCGTGGTGTAAGCCACCCGCGCCATGTGCCATTTCGTGCTTGAGGACTTATACCTCACGCTGAATTTCGGTTGTGGATGTTGGTGTTGATGTTCTATTCAAGCCCGCTGGATTTTTCCAGAAGTAGTGTTGAAAAAAGCCAGTTGAATTGCTCTTTGAAATGTTCAGCCCATTGCTTAAGACGACACTTGACGGAATGAATTGCCGTTACGTCTTTTTCGCACATTATTTTGCTGATACTTGTATTCTTTTGGTCGGTTGATCGAGTCAGCTGCTGTCGTTTGTAAGCAACACCTCCTCAATCTCCTGGACCATCGCAGTCCACCAGCGTTCTCTGTTATTTTCCGAGCTGTTGATTATTAGTGTTTGAGGGACATGCGTGTGCTCTCGTAGTCACTAGTTGCTTGCATAACACTTTTGGCAAGAATAAATCTGCTGGTCTCGATGATACCCAGTGTTCGTTTACCCGAGTCTATTGGCTTGGACATGCAGTTGTTTATCAGCACGACGGTGCGTTTGCAGTAAGATTCCAGCCAGATCAACTAGATATTCGAGCCACTGAAACTTGTCGAAGTTGACGAATGGATTTGCGCTGCGTCGATATTCTTAATGTTGAAGGAGAGCAAAGTGATAACTCGGGCAGCACAGTGCCATAATCATGGTTAAGATGCATACCCCAGAAGGAACGACAAGCTTTAATTGAGGCTATCTATTGAAAACTGACGGCAACGTGGTCCAAATAGGTCCTGGACTGCCTTGAGGTTTGTGGCCTCCAAGTAACTCGATGAGAGCTTTTCTGCTGGAGGTTCGCACTGGCGAGGAACAAACAATGTTCGGCAGACAACTGAAGAATTCGCTCTTCGTCATCCGTACGCTGAGCATCGACCTTCAATCTAACACCTAACTCGCTTCTTCCGGACTCCGTCGTTTAACTTGAGCATTCGCGTCACTCACCATAATCGCTATACACGTCATTCTTGCTGACCCAAGCAGTCGTGACTGGTCTTGATAAAACTCGTCGCTTCCGGTCTCAGAACCGCAGTCTTTTGGAGAGTATGCTGATAAGATCAATAAGCACCATTCACCTGCATTGGTTTTAATTAAACAAGACAACGGTACAGCGCAGTGGCAACTGTTTACTGCTGCTTTCAGCCTTGGGACCGAACGCATTTTTGAAGCTAATATACCACAGCCTTTGAGGTCGCCAGATATCCGGCGAGCGAAAAGTGGAACAATCGAGCTCATCCTAAGTGGTTTGAAGTTTATGATCGAAGAATGTGTTCCGGAGACAACATAAACCGACAGAGAAAGGAGGCAAGGTTTCAGCACGTGATGCCTGTTTTCAAATTTAACAAAGAATAGAGATATTAAACGTTTTAAATTGGATCAGATCTTTGGAGTTTAGTGAGAGGTAACTGTAGTTAGTTTTTGGGAAATAGTCCGGATTCGGCAAAATGGTTAGTGGAATGGAAAATTGGTTGACCGCTGAGCACCACTCGATGGGCCGAAAGGTATGTGTTGGTGAAGGCCAGTGGATGTTCTTTGTTGTCCAGGAGGAAGAACGGGATTCGACTGAGGTACCCTAACTTGGTGCTTTGACTCAAAAGCCTGACTCACAAGGCAGTGAGGTAATGTATTGTTTTGTCTGAGGACACTTCCCCTGGTCTCGTGCACATGAAGTGATCGTTTCATTACCGATGAGGCTGCACAAAGAGGGCACCTTTTGAGCAGCACCAGACTCCTTAGTTTTTGAAGTATTTCGACCATAGCAAGTGGTGCGCTGGGAGTAAGGACTGACCGTTCGACAGTTTTCAGAACCAACCTTTTATAACCCGTGCTTCCTCGGGCAAAGGCGTCATCAATACCTCCACAAATATAAGCATGCTAGTTGCATGAAGGAAACACCTTACTGTCTTCACACTCTTATCGCAGAGGACGGTGAGACTTCATGTACAAGCCGCCTTTCGCCGTACGGGGTCTTGCTCTTCTCCTTGTTGGCCTTCCTTGCATGGATGAACCTTAAGGAACTGAGTTCTAGTCAGTGTATCCAACAAGGTCATTGGGGCACTGAAGCCCTACTACCTCGACAAGATGATCGGGACTGTTGTGTCAAAATTACTCATGAGAGAATAATACAGAACTCAGTTATCGACGAAGTTGCAAACGGACCACTTTTGATGAAACACAAAACGCATCGAACTTGATGACTGACTGTTAATCAGTTCACTCAGCTGCGGCATCCTCCTTCCTCCGTGAGGAAGAGAGCATGATGGCTGAGATTGGTCCAAGTTGTCCAGCCCTGAAAATAAGTAAATAAGTAAATACATAGGAAACAAATTTCAACCAGAACCCCTATAAATTTAGGTCTTGTGTTCTAATCCCTCTGCTAACACAGACTTCCAAAACGTCTGACCGCGTTTCTTGTAATTAATCCATGGACAATAAATATGAACTTTTATTTAAACTCAGTCGTTTGTTTGGTAATCCCACAAAAGTGCTAACAAATTTGCGGAAACATGAATTGATATATTTTTCACTACCTCCCAGCGTGAGCTGAGCTCACGTTTTTACCAGAAAATTCAGTTGACATTTTCAAGAGGTTTTAGGCGGTTACGGTAGCAGTTCTCCAATACAGCCACCAGGAACACTAACGTTTCCCGTGGCCGTATATTGAGGGCTTTTCAGGTTCATAATTCCTGTTAATATGAAGGCAATATTATATCAAGAGGGAATTACTCATTGAACAAACCGACACCAGCAATAATACGATGTGTTTACTTCAAAGTTAACTATAAATCCTTCTTTCTTTCCTCATAGACCGTGAGTTGTTCCAAGCTGAAAACCAATCCGCGGTGGCAAAACTTGTAAAGACACTCATATCGTCATGGAAGAATGCCAATCCATTCTTGTTCCTGTAAATTTTATCCGTGGGTTTTGTTTTTTTTTGTAATCAAATATCCGGTGATAAGGTCTCATCAGTACTAGTGCAGTGCATCCCTTCCGGAATTTGCTGTCTCGCACATATCATCTTGGAAACTGAAATACAGCAACAAAATCCCCACTGTTAAAGCAGCTGTTTTTTCTTCATCACAAGTGCATAAATAGGACATATTCAAACTATCCGATTGGTACTAGGCAGGACAGAGTCCACTAATGTATATCATAACTACTGTAATTCACAGTAAGTCAGAAGAACACGTAAGTACGGACACGGGTGTATTGGGTACACGCGGCCAACTGGTCCGCCTTCGTAGCAGGTAAGCAAAAAACCAAGCCGCGCGTGACTAAACACGGTATTTCTAAAATGGCTTATATCAATTCCGTAGTTCCGTTGTAACATTTATCAGAGTTTGTTTCTGCTTCGGAGGAAATATAACTCAGTACAGAATGACGGGCTATTTGGCATATTCGAGGATAAGAACTTGCAATCAAACTAAAAAGCAACAGTTCGCTCCAATTCATGAACGTTTTAGTAAGTAGGAGGACAAACGGCACCACCAAAACCTGCTCGTGCTGAAAATAGGTACAATGAGACTTAATACCGACCTAAACTAGCAATCATCCAGTAAATTCAACATACTCCGAGCATTTAAAACACTGTGCTTCACGGATCAAATTGAAAATGGCAGTCAGAAAAACAAAGCTCCGGGATGAATTTGTTCCGTTTAATCTTCTCCGTCGCAATATGTGTAGAACGGAATAAATGAAGCACAATCGATGGCTAGTTGCATCGTTTCTGTGGAACAGAAAATCAAAGTGACCAGTTCACATTCCGACTATTTCAAGACAATCTTTATCTAAAAAGTTTGGGGGAGGGGGAAGATTTACTAAAAGCAACTGGAATAACAAGAACAGGCAACCGAACTGACAGTTCAATTCAAAATCAAGAATACATGTAAACCCTCAAGTAAATTACTACATCAGAGAAGAATCTTGGTGTCTTTTAATTCGAGCACTACTCTGCGGAAATTGATCTCAGGGCCGAAGATCAACACAGCGAGGGAGAAAAATGAGTCGGTATAAATTAAACGAACTACAGGAAATGTAACAAGTTGTATTCCCGACCATGAAAACACAATGCAGCTATCAGAAGTCGTGAGCCCCATCATTGAGCTCTTTTCTAAAAGGTTGAGTGGGTCACAAATTTAGTTTGCAGGAGGTGTGAGCCTTGGCGGGGGGGTAAATAAAAGAAGGAAAAGGGGATTCCTTTAAGCATGGACTGGACCACCGGCACGTCAAACTGGTTCCAATTTCAGGTCCCTACCTACAGTAGATAAGGCACTCTACCGTAATGCGCAAATGAAGCCAACTATAGGAATAACAGACCAAGAGACGGAACCGCCTGGAACATCACAGTATAGAACTCAGAGAGATCGAGGTAAACGTACTTCAGCACTGACCAATAGATGAAAACAAGAAAAGCCAGTGTGAGTGGAAGTCGACTATTCAGAGTACTGCTAGCGGACAAACCACCAGAATTGTTCGGTTAAACCATCAATCGTATTCTGAACTGATTCTTCTCTTACACGTGTATTAGGGCATATACCAACACAGTCGGGCTCTGTTTCACGATCTGCCGATGATGTCAACTCTCTCAGGAAACAACAGTCGGTGTTTTTCTGATCCATGTGGAAATCAACTAAGTTTTTTATTCAAAACAGGGCGTTTTGACTCCTGTAAACGAAACAGATGCTGTGTATTTAACATCTACCTACCGAGACTCCCTGCCTGCTGAGATTTAAGGCTGAAGTCAGTTCATCCTGGGACAGATTGGCTAAATTTCTAACTTGTTCATCGATAAGGTGGAGAGCTGTAAGAAGTCAATACAAACCTTTCTGAGGGATTGCGAATCACCTCGCGTGAATTGTCGTTATTTGCTACTCTAAATAACTTGGTAGAAAAAGCATCCAGCGTGTCCCAGGCATCATTTTTACAGTTTTTACATCTTCACGTTTTTACCTTCAACAGTTAGCATCGAATTTTGAAGCGAAAATTAAATGATTCCATCCAAGAAGGAGGATGTTCCTTTTCTGGGAAATTCCATCCCACCATTTTGAACACATCTTTGAAATTCCTGAAGTAAAGCAAATCGACACCCGCCTAGATGAAATACTCTACAGATAAGGATGTAGACCAATTCTTTCTAATTTTCCCAGTCTATAAGAAACTATGTGATCGAGGTGTACATTGATCTGAATAGTCATATCAGAGTGCAGTAAAACTATGCGCTTCTCATTTACAGTATGTGTTTGATAACACAACAACATGGGGCAAAAATATCATGTGCGAAGTGTCGCTTGATTTAGATTGGCTCTATTGAATGGGACATTTGTCACAGAGTTCCAGGGTGGTCTCCGATTAGTTACACTGAAACAGTGAAATCAGAAAATATTGCATGAGGCCCGTGCAGTTAACGGAATTTATCCAGTGAGTTGGATGAAAAAAATGTATGGTTGTCATGAGTACATAAAAACGTTTCGGTGAACCTTGAATAAGAACCTTATTGATGCCTTCTTATTGTTACTTACACTTGAAATATCTCGGTGCGTCCTGGTGCTTGTTATTAAGAGAATCGCTCTAGCCGCGTTAGCTGGTGCTTAAACGCCATTCAAGGGGACAACAACCGAAAGAAGAACATCATAAACCAGCTATTCATTTGGGTCTCCCGTGAAAAACGAGTAATCAGACATTTGGTGAGGATGCAAGAGGTGCTGATGTATAAAAGTTGATGACTGTTTTTACCCACCATGATGCACTGCGATTAAGGTACTGAGAAAATATCATCCAGCGACGGCCGACCTGATCGATATTACTGATTGTTGATGGTGTGATTTTTTATGCGTGTGATTGCCAGCTTGTGAGTTAGCTTGCAAAAACCTTTCTCCCAACAAGGAGATATCAGTATGCGGTTTATTAATTTTCCTTCCTTACTTAAGTGTATTCATTCTTCATATTCATAGTCGCGCTCCTGTCGTGATTTAGTTTTCCGGTGGATTCACACCGAATGAGGAAAGCACTGGATTCTATTTCTCCCTCATTAGCTCTGCATATACGTTGTCATCCAGGGTTTCCAACTCAGGACATCTGATATGCGAAGTTGGCGATTTACCCTTACTTCACGCTGGATGGACAGGCAAACGTGATCACGCTTGACCAGTGGGATTTGTTATCCCGACGCCTCAAACAACGACCCAGTAACCGTCCCAGTTGTGTCAACTGACTTTCTGGTCTGCAAGGGCCTCCCACGGATGCTTAGAACCTGCTAGACAATTTTTAATGAGTTGTAGTTAGGTGCGGGACTTTTAGAATTCTCAGTGTGTTACCTCCTGACGTGACTGGCTAACTGAGGGACTCAATGGCGGCACTCAATATGATATGCATGGAACAATGGAGATCGGGGGAGGATGTATCAATTATGAGAAGTGAGAATGTCGCATGGTCCTTCAATTGTTATTCAATTTTTTTCACATCTTTTCTTTCCCTCGGAATTTCTTGTTTCACTGTCTTATTCCTTCAGCTTTTCGTGAAAGTTTCTCCGTCGTGGGGTACTGAAACAGGTCCTTAAGTGCAGTGGGATCTAGATGAATGTCTGAGCCTGTTTTGTTATCAGAAAACGCTTGGATGCCTGTCAAAATGTCGCTGGCGGACGATAACTTTCTACCGAACTATACTCGCAGCCATATCAGCATGTATACCCGTCATTTCGTCACCCTCCCTTATTTCGGTGAACGCAACTATGGCAGCAGGGACCAGTATAAATTGACATCGTGAATGACCCCATATTAAGCTTCATGTAAAAGTAAAGTTGACGAGCGACTTAAAATATGTAAGATTGCCTCGTTATTCTAGAGTACAGTGAACCTAAATCACACGAGGAACTTCTGTGTGCTGCACAAGTTTAAATTTAAACATTTAAACACATGGTAGACACTTGAAACTTGAGCGCAGTACTGATCTATCCTGATTTCTTGAGCAGAAAACTTCAGCGGAGAGAAGTGTTCATCAATCATCTGTTACCCTGGCTTCACTATTCAATGTGAACGTAACTAAGCAAATGCGTTGACGGTCCACTAGTAATTGGGACTCTTATAGTCTTCCCTTGCTATACCTCCTATCGAATGAAAAATATTGCAATTGTTGTGACCTATCTCGACATTTGCCTAAGGTTAGCTGTCTCCAGGTCTTGTATGGCAGCAAAAAACAAAGGCGCTCATGCTCTACAAGTGAAAGTCCTCGCCAAAAACTAAATAAAAATGTTTCCTCTGATTTAAAAAAGCTGTTTGCTTTCCTAGCATATATCCTTGGGCTGTTGGCGCTACAAAACCATACACGGAGACCGAAAATGGATTTTTTCGCAACTCTTCCTCCAGCAAATATTTCGAAACCGCTGACAATCTCTTTTTTTCTTTAGCTGTAAAAATCGTGTACATGTTACACAGTGGTTGTATCTACCACAGTTTCTTTCGCCAATATTCTAGGATGGTAGGGGCTGACTGCTACACATTGGTACCAGTAGTTGACAGGATTGACACGAGCGACTGGATTTCACCGTGGAGATATCGGGGGAGAAGGCTATGCACCAAAAGCAACCTTTTGGAAATTTGCGTGCGACTGGGTCATCTACGTCAATGTGTCCATACAATGATGGATTTCATAGTTCCCTGCTAAGTCTTTGCTTCAATTCCTCTGGCACGTTTTCACCCTCCTCGTGGCTGTGTGAAAAGGGTTGCTCAAGGAAGCTAGTCTCCTGGCAGGTGGAGAATGTGACCATACGAACGTAACTTATGATCAGTTCACGTATCATAGACGAGTTATTTTTCCACAAAAAAAACATTTGATGAACTTCAGAATCACTGGTCCTGAGTGTTCACCGAAGACACAAATGGTCGACAACAGAAAGTTTCTCAGCACCCTTAGCAAGCAGCGGCCAAGTTTCGAACACGGATTGTACTGCTGTCCTTCCGACAATTCCCCTGTAACTGTAATAGACAAGTTCATTTGAACAATACTGCTTACAAG